TCCCGCGGCAGAGGAAGCAGCACCGGCCGGCCTTCCTCGTCCGCCGCCTTCCGGCAGAGGCTGTCTTCCTCGACGTCATAGAAGTTCCCCGTCCTCACCTCCTGAGACAAAGAACACGACCAACAGAGCAGCCAATGCACGCAGTCCGTCACCGAGGGGTACCCGCAGCAGAAAGGATTTGCGGGAAGCTTGAATCGTTTCCTCATCTGAATCCTCCAAAACCCGCCGTAGAGCAGCCCGAAAACACAGACCACGATACCGAAGATCCCCACGATGTACCTTATGGTGTCGTCGTCGATGTTGAGGGCGGAGACGCTGAAGACCAGCAAAGGGGCGACGACGAGCAGTATGAAGGTGGCGATATGGACGTACATGTTGCCGAACCCAAGCCGCTCCATGTTCCACCCGAACACGCAGAAGGTGCAGAAGAAGGAGGCGCAGCACACGGTTGGGTCGTCCCAGCAGTCGAACAGCCCTCCGATCCACTCGGGGCTGGTGACCACCACCCGCCTGTTGTATATCTTCAGCTCCGGCTGATCCCGTTGGCTTCGAGATTCGTGGACGGATTGAGGCTCCTCGTACTTCCTTCCCAGCGGGCTGAAGACCGTGTAAACACCGGCGATCACCGGAGCTGCGATTCCGATGCCGATGCAGAGGTTCTCGGCCCAGTCCGGCCTCGTGTTCCTCGTGTACCCCCAGTAGAGGCCGCAGAGGACGTACTGGGCGAAGCAAGTGATGTGGAGGAAGAAGACAACCAGCATTATGTGAGCCCTCTCGTGAACTCGATGAGATCCGTCCTTGCAGTACACCGTCCTGAGCTCCACCCTGTCGACCGATTTCCACCGGAGGAGAAGCACCAGGTGGTGGAACAGCTTGGGGTGTTGGTATATGCACATGATGGTGAAGAGGGCATTGAGAATCTGGTTGACGATCTCCGTCCATTTCTTTCTGTTGGAGCTGCTGGGAATGGCTCCGTTGAGGATTCCCGTCATCAAGAGGAACAACATCAGAAGCCCTGCCGCCACAAAGATCAACCAGATAAGAAGAGCTACGTTCACAGGTTTCTTTATCCAGTTCTTGAAGTATCGGATCAGAGCTCCCCAGTTGATCTTCCTCACAAACGGCACACGGAAACGACGCAGGCGGCGGCCATCGGATGGATTCCCACTGCGTCGCAAGAAGGAAAAGGGTGAGAGTCTTCCGACGAACCCGAACCGGAGGAACCAATCTTTGGATGGGTGAGCTTTGAGGAAGTCCAGAAATCTTCTCTTGTGGCGGTGGCTTTGATTCATCAGCCCCTGTTCCACCGTGGGAACGTAGATGGGAATGTAATCCACGAGCCGCATTCTGGTGCCGGTTGAATCGGCATCGAGATCTACTTGGATATCGTTCTCGTGTTCGCCACGCTCGTCGGAATCCATCTTCCTCTGCTTGCGTTCTGCAGCTCCACAACGGAGAGAGAAATCCATAAGACTACCATGTAGAAATCGAACATATAGAACCATAATTTCCAGCACAAAGAAACAAAATCTCAACTATGTTCTTCCGAAACAACATCGAAGTCAACTTTGTCATGCTCAGATAGATTTTGACTATTTCCCCAGCCAGGAAAATCCTGGTCCAAACAAGGTAGAAGTAGTTTCAGGGACTGCGAGTCAATCTTGTATACCAACATTCTATCATGGAGTTGTTTTCCTTTTTGCTTGTCTTGCTGTGTTCGACAACAGGAAATGTCGCTCTATGTCTTCTCTTGCATTAGAAGATCTCTCCATTTCCTCTGGAAATGGCACTTGTCCTAATTATTTTCTATGTTACCGTTCTTCCTTCCCACACACGGCACAAACAAAAGGACTCTTATTGTTGTGGTATCGTATGGATCTGCGGTCTCCAGAGGGAGACAATCTAAATCGCACCATGCTATGATGTATGCAAAGAAAATACCTACCAAAAGCAACAACAAATCATGGAAGAGGAGAATAGCAGTACCTGATCCTTTTGTTGGGACAGGAAGAAGAGAGATGTATGCACTTCAGCTTTCCCTCTCTTCCTAACTTTCCTCTCTGCTCTGTTCTTCGATCATCCCTTCCTTGTCTCAAGAACAAGATGGCAGAGAGGGGGACGCATGCTTCGCCATGGCCGTTCTGGTTGCAGAGACCTTGCCGTGTTTACTCTTCGTTCCTTTTCCGGTGGACGCCATAATATAAGGAAAGTGCGGAGCGGCCATTGTCATCCCTCCCTCGCATGGTCAAAGCAAAGCTGATGGGTCTGGGGATGGCAGGTGGAGCTCTTTTACTGGAACGAGAAGGGAGACTCGAGAGAAGTCAGACAAAGACTGACCGAACAATGGAGTTGCCTTTAGAAGAAGTCTGTGACGGGCCAAACACGGCCGGGGCAGCTGCCGTCTCTAATAAATTGCCGAGAGGCGATCGAAGAAGACCATGACCGCCAGCTTTGACATCTCCCTGATTTCAATATATATATATATATATAATTTTCATCTTAGTTGATCGAGATTTGAGATACGCATAAGGCTATAAAATATGCGACGACCAAATCCTGCGATCATTTCGAGCTTACGAATTTGTATTGTAGTTTGTTTGTGCAATCCCATATTCAAATATGATTATAGTATATTTGTTATTGTCTTGATGTGGTCAATTGGAGATTTAGTACATAGCTCGATACTAACCTAAAGGCGTAAGCCTATGTTGGAGGTCTACGTGATAGTCACATAGATGATTGAGTAGAGGAAAGTCTTACTATTATAATCTCAAGATGTTACTTGTTCGCTCGAGGTGAATTCCATGTTGGACCAAGGTGGTTTGGGCTTCTTCGGGGTTTGATGAGCTGAGATATATCTTGGTTTCGTTGGGATTCCTGCACAAGCAGTCAACATCGGGGGAGTTCTCAACTTGACTATTTTGATGGTAAAATTAGTATTATAGTGGGAATAATGAAAGTTCTTCCTTCTCCTCCTCATTTTAGGTTTTTGGAGCTCGCTTTTATACCTGAGTGATCAATAGAGGGAAGACTAATGGTCGATTAGGATGGATCCATATGTCCTTTAGGGGCTCATTCATGTTGACGATTGGCTTATATACTTTGCTATGGTGCGTCGTCAACGAAGGACTAGGTCGTTGTTCGTTAGGGCTGACGTTTGTGTGGGATAAGCGGAAGACGATCGCTTGTGCCAAACGATCAAAAAAAAAAAATCGCCACCAAGGATTAATACTTTCTACCGTCGAATAATCAGAAAAGAAGAAGAAAAGCTTTAATCACCATGGATTAATGTTTTCTACGATCGACTCATGTGATCTTTCCCAAAATCATAGTTGGCAAGCGAGAAAATATCGCTTTTCTAACGCTCATCATAGGGAAAGAAAGGCGCGTAGATTCTTCAACCCACATCACCCTATGAATTTTCATTCATTCATTCAATGTTCTCCGTATCAATATTCATTCATCACAATACGAATGAATTCATCCATCAAGACAGGATGCCATGCCATCCCGTGTGGATTAGCGTGGTGACCGTTCATCGTTCGAAGAGGCACAGGGAGCTCATTCACTCTGCAACAGGGAGTGTGGGGGCACCTCGAAATGAATGCTGTCTGAGCTCGAACAGGTGGCTCCCGCTCACTCCCTACATTATGAGATCAGCAATTACCTCGACAGTAACAATTCATTACTGTTGTGCGCCATCGCGATCGGTAACGTAAGTGTTCGTCGAAATGCCTGCTGGTTTCCTTTTTTCTACGGTGAAGACGAACACCATCCGCCGTCTTTGAAGGGTTCGTCACGGGCGACTAATGCCCTGCTGCTGCTGCTGCTGCTGCTGCTGTTGGTGCACGGCTACGCTTTCCCGAGCTAGCTTGTCAGCTGGGTGTGGAAGTATTCGCATTTATTGGACGGCTGCAATGTGACGTACGACTCCTCCGCCAAGAAATGAAGCGTCGTGAGCAGATTCCATGGAAGCGGTGCTCGAAGTCACAATGCTGAAATGGTCGTATGCCATCGGTTTCAAGCTCGAAGACTTTTCTTCGATGGCTTCGTGGTGGAGCAATTCCACATAGTTTTTGCCATCCATCAATCAGCATGCCTAAAACCAACTATCTCTTGCCCATTAATGAGGATCTGTAATAAGTCAACAGAGATTATAAATCTTTTAGGAGATGTTGGAGGTTGGATCCATGTCCTGATTTGTGTGTGTGTGTGGAAGATTTCTCTATATTTATATGAAAGAAATTTCGGTCTTGAGTTTAGATTACGAGTTTTTTCTTATGTTTTGTTATTGATATAAAATAAAAATATTAAGATGGATGTAAGCAAAAGAAATAGATTTTGTATTTACTTGTATATATTATTAATTCTATGCAAGGATGTGAGGATAGGCATGGAGAGCCTGTGTTTGTCAAAATACAAAGAGAACTTTTTTGTTTGCTTTGTGTGCCGAATTAATGAGGTAGCTATGACAATGGGCTTGCGCCTTGTAAAGGAAATCTATACATTAAATTACAAGAGTAATGTCAATGATAGGTGGGTCTCTTTTTTCTTCATCTGATGGAGGGTTTGGAGTTCCATCCCTCTTTTGCACAAGTCAGTATGATATGATAGAAACAACTGTTGTTTGGTAGCATGGTTTGTTTAATTCTTTGATAGGATACAATAATGAAACCATGTCTTGAATCATTATAGGATGACCAACACAAAAAGAAGACTGGTGTGGAGTCCAATATCATTTCTTACCATGCTCAAACTAGTGCTACATACCCTAACATATAAAAGATTTGCCAAGCTTTTCTTTAGGGTTAGGAATACTTGCTCTGGAATGAGAGGTTGACCTTGACTTTTGAATTGGAGACTCGAATCTAATCCACTCTTCTAGAATATGAACATGAAAGCAGACTCTTATCATGATCAAGTCAAACTTTTCATCATCAGGAAGAATAGATAAAAAAGGAGTCTGACCATGCACTACTGGTTATAAAGCAAAGGACAGGCTTAGAATGCCAACATTGTTTTGATTAACACAGTGATTTTACAATACACAATAGGATCTATGATAACATTATGGATCCAGTTGATGCAAAATATCAAGATCATGAGTAACAAATTCATAGGTCGATAAGTTACTCGTTATTTGTGCAAGCGCAAAGCAAGAATATGTACACAAGTCAAATTTTCGGTAAAACAAAGATTCTACTAAACATCTGTGAACACGACACACTCACATAAACTTCAAGTGATGCCTTCACTGGTCTCCACAGGGTGTGGGGCCGGCCACAGTGGGTTGTATACAACAAAACGTATCTGTTATCTGCAACAGAAGAAAAGCATTAAGAGACGCACAATCGTGTACAATCTACTGTGCATCTTTGACAGCTGAGAGATCCTTTAGACATACAGCAAATGGATCCAGCATTTAGGTATGCACCGTCATATTCAGCAAGAATTAAATGAAAGAGCTATTCTTGTTCCTGAATTTACAGAAATGGTTTGACAGTCACGATGGAAGCATAAAACTTGGAGCTGGCATTAGGTAGAACATTCAATTTTGCACAGAATAGACAAACAACAAGAGATGCTACATCAAAAATAAAGAAGGCAAAAGGAATCAGGTTGTTGGGGACATAAATGGACCTAGGTTTCCTACTGTTTGAGCAACTCATGATGGAGTGGAGTGCAGCACCCCTCTAGTAAAGCTTCTGCAAGTCTTTTTAAACACTTTATTCAAACATATTAGTTGCATACTGTGACCAGTGAGATACCTGCAATTACCTCATAAAAAATTTAAATCTTGATACTATGAACAACACTTTGGTGGGGGTTCTTTCTCAGGTTCATCATCTACAACAAGAATCCCTCTTTTCGGTGGAGCAGGCAGCAAGCCATTGGTGCTATTCTTTTTCTTCTGCAATAATCCTTCATTTGAGCAAAATAACAGCACGTTATAATACTATCAATCACAAATGATACTGATAGAGGTATACAGAAATGCAAAGGCTGAATGGTAGCTTTAAAAAGTTAAAAAGTCTTAAGATTTAGCATCACTGGAAAAGCATCTGCCTACTTCCAAATTTAAATGATCAACAATAATTAAAGTTACTGTCACAATTTTCATGAAACCTATCAGAACATTGACATGCTTTTGCATAAAATACACAGTACAATCTAGCCCAATAAATAAGGACTTTCCAGAACACAAGACCTCTGTCATTGGATGGGCTACACATGAAAGAATGTTTCTGCAACTTTTTAGTTGAACGTTGATCTCAATTATAACCTCAATGTCTTAAGTTGATTGGTCTCTTCAAATATACACTATTGCAGATTGTCTATAGTATATTGAAACTTCTAGAATGTAATCTGGAATTATACTAAAATGAACTTGAGGACGAGATGAGTGCCTGTCTCATGTAAGATGATAGGTAATTTCTATTGTTATGATGCATCACAAGTAACGGAAAAAGTAAACTTGTCTATACCAGACAAAACACTGAAGTAATTCTTAATTATGTGAATGGGTAACTCACGTGTTGTGATATCAATAAAGACTTCATCTACTCCTGTTCCAGACTTGGCAGATGTCACAAAAATCTTTGATCCAATCGTTGCTGCATAGCTGCACTATAAAGATAATATATCAAACTGACAAGCTATGAGTTCAAAAAAAGGAGAGAGTAAAACATTTCTATGGCAACTGAAATTTCCCGGAATAATCCATAACCAATCACTATTGATCTTGCGAATTATAGATAAAAGTAGTAACACAATGTGAATCCAGAGGTGGAAAAAAGTTATGATTTATGACTTTATTAACATACCATGATGGAATAACTTGTAACAAGATCACTCTTTCACCATGTCATGAATTATAATGTGAAAACAAGACTTTGAAAAATACCATTCATAACTCTATTAAAACTTACAAAGAGTTCATAACATGTATAGTTGCAAACAGTATGCTATCTTGGCAACTCTGATTATATTTTCAAGATTTAAGGAAAAGGATTGAATGAAGCAAACCTTTCAGCTTCTTGTATATCATACTTCTTTGATCTAACTAAATCACTTTTATTTGCTGCTATGGCCATGACTATATCCTTTGATGCCATCTGCTGAAGTTCCTTAACCCACTTTCGGACTCGAAGAAAAGAATCATTGTCTGTGATGTCATATACTAAAAGTGCTGCTGCAGTTATCAAGAGACATTTAGTGAGGTATTTATTATCCACAATCACCAAAAAAATAAAATAAAATGTTCATAATTCTCTAAGGTAAATTCATCAATGATGCTGAAGATAGAGTTTGCAAGATACATACCATCAGCATCGCGATAATAGATGGGGCCCAAAGCATGGAAACGTTCCTGTCCAGCTGTATCCTGCATAATAAATATGATCATTCTAAGCTTTGACTGCAATAAAAAAACCCATAAATTGGGTGCTTTTTTCCTTGTTAATATGAATATGACTCTGTTGTGTCTTGCAAGGCCCATTCATGACTGGCACCTAAATTTATAATTCGATACTGATCTGCATCTTTTGGCTAGAAGTGCACTGGAAAATTTGAGCAACTTCTTGCTATATACTTTATGCTATATGCCAAATAGGGAAGACAGTGTAGTTTCATAAAACCTAGAAAAGATCTTTGCATAACAAAACAAGACTACAGAAGTAGAAAAGTTCTGAACCCCAAAATTTTCTTTAGAAAAACATTATATCTGATACAGGAACATTCAATGTTGAAACTATCTGAAGTTGACACTGTTTTTATTGCAACAATGTCCTTTCACAAAAACAATATTGAATTTGCATCTAGAGAGTCCTTTCTTGCATTAGTTTTGCAGCATGCTAATCCCACTGCTTGCAGCTAAGAACATTTATTGAGAAAAATGTTCTGCTTGCTTTAGGAAAACCTTTTCCTTTTTTGGTTGTTGATCAAATCTATTGTTCCTCATTCTTAAACATAAAGCTTCTCCTAAGTAATAATCAAAATTATGGCTGCTCCACCTTATCTCAAAAAGCAGCATTTGAACTTAAGTTTTTCAATTAAGCTATTAAAGAAGGTTATATGTGAAGTCATCCAAATACAAACTAACAGGTGGCTAAGTCAAAATCACCTTATTTTTTATCTAGCTTTTTCACGAAGATTTAATTGACAAGAACCAGGGTCACGTTTGAAAAAATAATTTGTGGTAGAACTTCACAGAAAGCGTGAGTGATGAGCCATAGGACCAAAGATATGTCCACTACTAGCCTAGTGCTTTACATAAACCAAATAATGAAAAATAAAAAGACAAGAAAACGCACCCATATAGACAAGGTAACAGGCACACCTTCAATGACAAGGTGTTTTTTTAGATAGAAAGCTTGCACTGTAGCTTCTTGTTTCTCGGAGAAAACATTATTTACATATCTCAATACAAGGGAGGTTTTCCCAACTCGACCTGTAAAAAAAAAAATGTACATTATGAGATTCATAAAACAGAAGATTAAATTCTCAAAGAAATGTACTGCCCTACAGCATGTAGGCCAACTGCATGTGTATGCTGACTCCTTACTAACAACAGCAATTAGTAGTGCCGCGGTGTTCCTCCTTTCTTTATTTAACTATGACCTCATATTAGTAAGAGCAATAAGTAGTGCTGGAATATTTGTCTTGATTTCTACTCACTACCTCTCTTTTTTCATCCTTCCTCTTGCATCTTTATATCTAAAGGTTGTGAGAGCATATTGTTTTTCTTCCTAAACAAACTATCAGGATATCTGCAGCTGTTTGCAGTCACGTCTAGTCCAATCAGATTCATCCTTATGGACCTATTTAAGACTAAAATACTCCAAATCAATTGCAAACAACCTTGAAGTCTAACCACCCTGAACAAAACCTGCACTTTGCACCTCCAAAACACCATGACATGAACCCACCTAAATGCAAACATGAGATCATACATTTGGGTCTCCTTGCTTAGACTAATAAGTTGTCTTGATAGCACGCATGTACACGATGACTGATGATGCTAGGGGCATGAAACATAAACATTGTCTCAGAAATCTCATAAGCTTCCTTCCATCTTTTAAAATTCAGTACATACATATATCACTCATATGTGAATATTTCCTAATAACAACCTGCAACACCAAGTATGACATAGATATGGTCAGATCAATGGTGGGAAATCCAATCTCCAAGATCCCAATTTGGCTGCAGACTGCACCTTCACTATGTCGAACTCGTGCATAAGACATCAAGGAAGCTAATATTGATCCTTTACAAAACTTAGTTGCCAAGTTCATACAGGACAATTCACGGAATAATGGCCCACAAATTTGATGGACCACATCTACATCGAATCCAATCCCAGACTGGAACCCCAGAAACCAATCCAACGAACAAGTATTCCGCAGCCACCTGAACGGCGCAAGGAAACCCTACGCCGACTCAACGCTCAAACATATTCAACCAAGATTCAGACGAAAAAGAAAAGAGGTAGACAAAGATTAAACAGGAAGGGGGATTGGAGTTACCGTCGCCGAGGAGAACGAGCTTAAAGGTGAGATTTGGCGGCCGGGAGCTCATCCTCTACCGATCGAAATCGAAGGGTCTTCGGACGGATCGGAGAGTCTCGCCGCGTCTCCAATCGCATCAATTCCTTTCCTTCCGCAAGGGGGAACGAACCGACGATTTGGTCGAGAGGCCGCTTTTGTGGGCCGGATCGAGTAGGCTAAATGAACTAAACTTTGAAACGGGTAGAATTCTTGATCCGACCCGAATCCGATATTAATACCTTTTATCTCTAATGCACCAACCTTACTTTTTATGGGATTTTACCCCCAAAACCTTAATATCAATATTTTTATTGTCAATTTACATGCCTGCCTTATTTATTATGATATTTATTTGAGATAAAACTATTGAATCTCGAATTTTCACGATGAAATCAATTGACAGAGTTTACGATCTAATCTACGTTTTGAATGATTCAGAACTAGCTTCGATCATTAAGAGACAATTAAAGCAGGAAGAATTAATGTTGAGGTGAAGTGGAACATATCAGAAGATTGGATGTCAAGCTGAAGGATCGGTTGACGCGTCGACAGATGGCTTCATGTCATGAGTTCGGGGATCGGACTTAGAAGAGCGGACATTGTGCCAAAAAAAGATCGGAGTTGTGAAGGTCAATATGTTGATTGGGCAAAAGACCACAAAAGAGGATGATGCGACGAAGGATTGGACGAAGCGCCAATGAACCAATGACATGCCGGACAACATGTGATTAATGCTTTGTAATAATTGTCTAAATCAAAATAGTTTTGAGTTGTAATTGGGTTGGAATTATGCCAACTCAATTAGAGGCCAACTTGGCCTATGTTGAGGTTGTTTTGAGTCAAGATTCAATGACCCAAAAGTTGGGTCAAGCGATGACACCATCGGTCCAAGCGGTGGCACTGTTAGAAGCTCAGTCTTCGAGACATAATCTCTTAGACTATGTCAGGCGGTGGTACTGCCCAAACATAATCTCTCAGACTATGTCAGGCGATGGTACCACCAGGATCCGGGAAACATGAGATTAGACCTTTTTTAGCTCTAATTTTGAAGTCATTTGAGGTTTATTAATAATCTAGTTATTTCTATATAAAGAAGCAAGAAATTGAGTTGAAAAAGGGGGAAAAAATCCTTGTGAAAAAATTATAAATCTCTTAGTATAAAGTCATATCTTCGTAGTACTTAAAAGTTCTTCTAAAGGAAAAAGTGAGGTTTAAGTGTAAAAGAGAGAAGTGTAAATGTTATTTCTTGAACTTGTGAAAACGAGAAAAAGTATAAAATGGTAGTTAATCTTCGTCTATTGAAAGAAGATCGGTAGTGGAAGTCGATGGCCTCGAGTGAAGAGGAATCGAGAGTGGATGCAGGTCACGACCGAACCACTATAAATATGATTTATATTTCTTTTATGCTTTTCATTTATACTGTAAGCTGATTTACTTGCTTATTACTTTCACTACCTTACGCGAACATGCTTTCAAATCAAGTATCTTTCCGATCGGTTTTCATCGAACGAAAATTTTCAAACCGACGTGATTTTATCGTAAGCACTAATTCATCCCCCGCCCCGCCCCCCCCTCTTAGTGCCTTGGTCCGAACAAAAAATATTATGAAAATAATATTTATCTTCTTTTCTTACCAAATATCCGAAATAATATATCATTAAAATAAATATATCTCATTTTTCTTCCCCAAATAAATCTAATTTCATTACATGGGCTTTTAGCCCGGCCCATTTACAGCTCTATTAGACATGCCGCACGTCAAATACGCACGAAGGATCGGGATCGTCTCTTGGGTGGTATCCTCGTTGGAAACCCTAGCGTTTTTTCGACCATCTGCTGCACAAAGGTACGATTTTGATCGCAGCCACATGCATCCCGTCTCGATCTTTTCTGTTTCACCCGATCAATTTGGCACCTTGGTCTGAGGACGCTTTTTACATTAGAAATCTGGATTTTTAGGATCGGTAATTCCGACGTCTCCTTAATTCACTTATATCATTTCTTATCCTTGAATTAAAGGATTGATTGATCAGATCTCTGATATTTGGGTTGATGTGATGGTAGGAATTCACTAATCCGTTGATTTTCTTCGATAGAAGTGTGTGAATTTCGTGAGAACATATACTATTGTTTTGGGTTGTCAAGTTTATCTATGGAGTATCACAATATGCTCTCAGAGGGTAGATCTGTTTGCCCTGGTTAAGTAATATTTCTGGAATTACATTGAGATCCTAAATAACCTTTTGATGCTTTCTTTCAGTGCTTGATCTTCACCACCATTTGCTAAAAGACAATTTTGAGAACTAATATGTTTGGTTAGAAATTTGTGTGGTTTACTGAGTGGCGAGAAAATTCTAGGAGAAATCATATATTTGATTTGGTGGCTTTAGCAAACAATTTGGTTAATGAATTATGAACAGTCTCCAATATCTGTGGCACTTATTAATCCTTTTTTTTTTGTTGAGCTATTTGTTTGGTCGATTGGTTACTGATGAAGCTGCATGCTTTACAGGCATCCTATCTGTAGGTATTTTAAGTATGACAGGAACTACTTTCAGTTAGATGTATTAGATTGTTAAATGTATCCGTAGAATTTATGAACATGATGCATATACATTGATGTTAAATAAAATAAAGTTGTTAGCCAAGCAGGGAATAACATTAGAAAGACTAAAAATAATTCTGATGGATCAGTGATTTAAAAAGTGCTAGGCGCTAAGGTCCCAAAGTGCTTGATGCGTTAGGTACTCGCCAGAGCAAAGGGAGGCACTCTAAAATATTAAAATATTTAAAATATATAATATAATTATTTAAATAAAATAATTATATTATAATTAAAAATATAATTATTTAAATAATTAAAAAATAGGTGCTCGATCCGTTGAGTCTACGGTAGAGGTAGCGATAGAAAGCGTTGGTGGCGAAGGCAGAAGCAGCGCTAGGGTTCCTCGGGGTCGTGCAGGCATGAAGCGTGACTTTTGAGGTAAGAAACTATGAACCAAATTAAACTTAAACCAGTTTGGTTTGCTTAATTGAACCGGGTGCTCGTTCAAAATGCCCTGTGCCTATGTTCGAGCGAGCGCCCAGGCGATGCCTCATTGAAGCGCGCCGCATGGTCCACACACGAGACGCTCGGGCCTCGCCTCGCCCGAGCACTTAGGTGAGTGCTGTAGCTCTTATTTAAATCACTATGACAGACGACTGAAGCCCTTTTATTTTTTGGCCATTCTTTTTTTCATTTTAAGATAATATCTCATGATCAGTCTTTCAAAGTTGATCACGTCTAACAAAAGATTTTGTAATGATGGTAATGATGGGTGTTATTTAAGATTAATGGTTCAGCAAATAGTGGTCCATGTGAGCATAGTTTAGACATCTAGAGGCTTGTTTTTGGCCTGAAATCTAGCTGAAGCCCCAGGTGATTGTTTTACGACCACATTGGTTGCGATGGAAATTATTGTTGAATGGTTATTGACCTCAAGTTCCTTTAAAATTTTCTTTTTCCTTTATTCATTCACAAGTCCTTGATGGTTATTTTAATACTCAAGTGGCTAGGCAAGATTAGCTACAACAGGAGCAAATAGTGTATCATGCCAACAATATTTGTATCAGTGGAATTTTTGTTCATTTTGCACTATGGAGATGTACTTGTTACCTCTAACCTCCTTTGGGTTGATATTTATTAGTGTGAAATTCTCTTTTTCTTGTTTCTTTAGCTGTAATAAAAAACTAATACATGATTGGTTCTGGCCATTAGCAATCCAATCTAATGAATGCATCTTTTGCATCGTAAACATGTTCACTGCATTCTTCTGCTGTTTTGGCTCCATTGTGAACACACGATCTTTCTCCATATTTAAGATTGTGTTTTGTATGCTTTACTTTTTCTTATTTTTTTGTGACAGTCGAGATGGTTGCCAATGGCGGAGCACCACCAAGAGGTAGTGCAGCAGCAGCTGCCAGCTTGCGCAGACGCAGGCCAGGTGGTGGTGGTGCTGGTGCAGCAGGGGGAGGTGCAAGCACGATGCTCCAGTTCTACACCGACGATGCTACAGGAGCCAAGATGTCTCCCAATACTGTTCTCTTTATGAGCATTGGATTCATTGCTGTTGTTGCTCTTCTGCATGTCGTCGGTAAACTCTATTTTGTTCGTCACTAGAGCTCCATGTTTGCGTCCTGACTTTTGATCTCCCTAAAGGTGCACTCTTGATTTGAGCAAAACACAGACAATGTATTGGGTGGGTAGGCAATGTGACAATTTTATTATCAGAATCCTTTGAGTTTGCCCCAACTGCAGCATTTTTCGTTCTATAATTGACATTACATACAGCATACTTGTTATTTTGAAGTCAATCCAACCTGCTGTGAGTGTTGAATTTGTTTGTGCTTATCATCAGAATGTTGAACACTATGAATGTTATGATGGTAATGATGTTTCCGTGTGATTCGAGTGATAGTCTTCTCCTCCAATTCAAATGTAAATGCACGAGAAACGCGGATTGGCCACTGATTTGGATCCACTCGCCCACTGAAAGATAATTCCATTTCTTGCAATCATATCCAACATATGATCAAAGTCAAGTCTAAATCCTAGTTGTTTTAGTTGACCTTCCAATGTCACTTCATTTATACGCCAACAACGCAACGACTGAAATGAATGAGAGAGAGAGAGAGAGAGAGATGAGTTCAAGTTCTCAGTTTGCTGCGCCGTCCGGTGCCATCGTCGGCCCACAGTTCTGCGTTCCGTATCGGATCGACCTCACGTTCTTCATCGATGCCGCCAAGTGTGACCACCTCACAGAGACCGACATCAACGGCAACGTCGTCTTCAAGGTCGAAGCCCATAAGTGGAGCCTCAGAAACAGGCAGGTGGTCGTCGACGCCTCCGGCAAGCCTGTGATTTCGATGCAGCAGAAGGTCCACATCCTCATCTCTGCTTCGCTTCCTTCTTTCTGCAAAGTCCAAGACGTTGACTCTGGTCGTTCTGTCATGCAGCTGAGCAGCATCCATGACCGGTGGCAAGTCTTCAAGGGAAATAGCTCAGATCCTAAGCATATGCTGTTTAGCGTCAAGAGGAGTTCTGCACTCCAATTCAAGACCGAGTTGGACGTGTTCTTAGCTGCCAACACCGAGGAGGAGGTGTGTGACTTCCTTCTCGTGTCTCCCACACATCCAACTTCTCGTGTCTCCCACACATCCAACTTTGGCTGTTCCGTCATGCAGCTGCGTAGCGTCAATGACCGGTGGCAGGTCTTCAAGGGAGATAGCTCTGATCCTAAATATCTGCTGTTTAGCGTCAAGAGGAGTTCTTCTCCCCAAGTCAAGACCGTGTTGGATGTGTTCTTAGCTGCCAACATCAAGGAAGAAATCGTAAGATGATAATAGAGACACTTCAACAACTAAATTCTCAGAACTTATATATATATTATTCAATAAAATATTATTCTCTGATTATAAAAAGATAAATTCAATACTTTGACTCGATAGTAACTCCTCTCTTGATTAAGACTTTTAAACTAAGATCCTATCTAATCGCAAAGCTTGATTTAATATTTGAATATATTCTCTTAGATTAAAGTTTGTAAAAAATTTTATGAAAAGCCTTAAAACTTGATGCAATCTTATGTTGTTGCTATGCGTAATGGTTTTTAGAATATCTAAATTCTTAACCATGTATTCCATAATAGTTTTTGATGTGCTCGATTTATTCTATCTTACCTGTTCTAATCAATTGTAAAACTTTGATTTGTTTGGAATCTTAGCTTTCTTGAACCAATCCCTAGATATAAAATCAAACATAAATATCAGACTTTTTTCGTTATAGAATATTTATCAGATTTTATAATTTTTTTTATTTTGATCAACAACTTATTTTGATAGGTTAACGATCAACTTTCTAAAATTTTCTTTTTCTATAGAGAGGTAAAATATATTTATGTTTTTGATGGAAATTAAATTATCTAATCCAACATAATCATCTACTTCAATAAAATTAATATTATGCATATGGTAGATTGTATTTTGTACAATCTAAACGTCTTGTATCTTAGTAAGAATGTAATTGAAAAATCTATCATATACGATGAGTTATCTTCATTAAAATTTTCTATTAAGATATTTTCATTTTCTTCTACTTATATATCATGTATTTTTTTTTTTTACTTCAAACAATATAGAAGGATATATACCTCTTTTATAAATATCTTTTAAAATTAATGAGACTTCTGTCTTAATTCTATAGATTCTTAAAATAAGATTTTCATCTAGTATTAAACGTGAGATCAGCTTTAGTACTCTTTTATCATCTATTATTTTTCGGAGAGTAATACACAATCTATATCATTTATCATATTTTTACAAAAAGTAATAAAAAATTTATATAATTTATTATAGTTTTAAATAATCGAAGATAATTTTTTTTAAACTTTCTGAGACGAGAAAATAATAATGAGATCTAAAATAACATATAAAAGTCATTATCCATACCTTCAATCTTTTCTTTTGTATGCGAATTAATTTTTCTATTGACTGTCTTTATCCTATTATAATCTAATTTATCGATTGCGTTTTTTATTATCTCCTCCTATTTTATAATTGTCAGATCTACTTCTCGGCTACATTGTTATTGATTCTTAACTATATTATCTTAAGATCTAATTTCTCTTTCTAATAATTTATTTGTTTTTTTCTAGAATTTTCTATCTCCTTAGACTTTCTATATCTATTATTTCTCTCTCTTATGATTTTCTCTATACAACTATTTATCTCTCTAATATATTTATTTTCTCCCCGTAACAAATCTAGTTCTCTCTCTAATGAGACCTTATTTAAGGCTCTAATTGTTGAATCTCAGATTTTGATAATAAAATCAATTGGTAGAGTTTATAATCTAATTTATGTTTTGAGTAACGCAAAACTAGCTTAGATAACGAAGAGACAATTAAGAATTAATTTTGAGCCACAGTGGAACATGCCAAAAGATTAGACGTTAAACCGGAGGATCAGTCAATGTGTCGATAGAAGGCTTCGTGCCATGAGTTCTGGTATCAGACCTAGAAGAGCGGAAATTGGGCCAAAGAGATCGAAGTTGCAGAGGTCAACATATCGATTGATCAAAAAGCCACGAAAGAGGACGATGTGCCAAAGGATTAGACAAAGCGCCGATGAACCAATGACATGTCGGACAACATGTGATTAATGCTTTGTAATAATTGTCTAGATCGAAGTAATTTTAAGTTGTAATTGGGTTGGAATTAGGCCAACTCAATTAGGGGCCCATTGGGCTTAAGTTAGAATTAAATTGGGCTTGATGGATGGCTCACTCGGCCACTTAGAGTCATGCTAAGCGGTGGCACCGCCCACGTTGGGTAGTGGAACTGCTTGAGGCTCAACCTCCCAGCGGTACTGTCGGTAGTTAATGTTGCAAAGCAATGGTACCACTAGAGGCTAGTCTCGAAAGCTCTGTCATGTGGTGGTTCCGCCTAGTATCTACTAGGCGGTGGGTATCATGAAGACCTAGGATGAGACTAGTTTTGGCTCCAAGTTTGAATCCATTTGGGACCTATAAATACCTCTCTCATCCTTGCTCAGAATACTCAACTCAAGAATTGAGAACAAAAACAAGGAAAAACTCTATTGTAATATTGTGAGAGTTCTCCTTCTCTAGTCTAAGTGTTGATTTCTATTTAAGAGAGGAGTGAATGAGGGTGTAAAGGTTTTCTATTGAGCTTGTAAAAAGGAGAATAGAGTTGTCAAAAGGAGAATAGAGCTTGTCATCCCCCATCGAAGGAAGACCATTAGTGGATGCCGGTAGCCTTGACGGAAAAGAAATCGGTAGTGGATGTAGGTCACGACGACCGAACCACTATAAATTGGTGTGCTTTCTTTCTTCGCTGCCATTTACTTAGTTTGCAATTGCTTTACTTCCTCTTATGAACGTTTTTAAAGTTAAACACTTTTTAATATGGTTTTATCGTACGAAGTTTCGAATTATCGACGTAATTTTATGTACGCACTAATTCACCCACTCTCTTAGTGCCAACTCGATCATAACACTAATGCCTTATTGAAAAATCTCTTCATGAGATGATTGGCATCAATAAATCATATGGTATAATAGAAAAAAAAAATAAAAATATTTTAAAAATTAAAAACTCATATTAAACATGTTAACTTATAATCTCTCGAACCTTGAATATAATCAAGACACTTCTACCTCATCACTTCTCTCATTGTTGTTAAATCATTATATGAACCCTTTGTTAATAGAAGGATAATTCAAAACTATGATATGTACTTCGTAAGGCTTGAAGGTTCATGAAAGACTTGGGTTGCAGTTCTTTTCATCTTCCTCCTTTTGGGTTGTTGTGGATTGGCCACAAATTGCGATGTCAGAACAAACATGGTTGTAGTTCTTTTATCCTCCCTCTGCAGTATTAAAGGCTAAGCAATGGACTCTCTGACATGCACTGTCGACATTACCAATCATTATTATGTAAAGCAGGAGGTAGGTAAAAGTCGTCCAAGGATCCATCAAACATTATTTTCTTACAACATAAGACTTGCACCGTTGACGACACTATCTGCTGAATGCCACAAGCAATTTGCCATACAGCTGCATGACATGGTTCTTGCAAACAAGCATGACAAGATTCCCACGTACTTGAGTTTACAGAACCAGACCACAGGACATAAACCATCCCGACCTCGAGAAGGGATGCAGGAGGCACACGGAGGGCCACATCAGGCCAGGTGGTGGTGGTGGTGGCGGTGGTGGTGCAGCAGGGGGGAGGTGCCAACACGATGCTCCAGTTCCACACCGACGATGCTACGGGGGCCAAGATGTCTCTCCCAATACTCTTCTCTTTATGAGCATCGGATTCATTGCTGTTGTTGCTCTTCTGCATTGTCGTCGGTAAACTCTATTTTGTTCCTCACTAGACCTCTATTTTGATATCCTTAAAGGTGCACGCACTCTTGATTTGAGCAAAACATAGACTGGTAGGCAATGTGACAAATTTATTATCAGAATCTGCAGCATTTTCGTTCTATAATTGACATTACATGCAGCATACTTATTATTTTCAAGTCAGTCCAACCTTCTGTTAGTGTTGAATTTGTTTGTGCTTGTCATCAGAATGTTGAATATTATTGTGAATGAAGTAAGCCATTGAATTGTGATGAGGGCGACGAGGGGGAACTATGAATTGTTTTTTATAGTAAGTGATAGAAGATAAGATTTTCCCAACTTGATAGAAGATAAGATTTTCCCAACTTGATAGAAGATAAGATTTCCTCAATTATATGAGGAAATCCTTCCTCCTATCTGTAAGAGAGAACATGTTAATATATTCAAGCTAAAGTAAGCGAAGCTTCGCTCTTGTCTTTGGCCAGCGACCAACGCCGTTGAGAAAAGTGAAGCTTCGCCAACAATCACTCACGAAGCCTCTCGCTTTAAACCATGCATCAATCCAAGATTAGATTTGTATCCTTGTCAAACTTGATAGAAGATAAGATTTCTTCATTTTTACAATAAAGCTTCTTCAATTATTGTTATTATCTTCTATTGACCGAGAAACACGGTTTGACCATGGATCCACTCGCCCACCGAAAGATAATTCCACTTGCAACCACATATGTCGATTCATTTGTACGCCAACAACACAACGACTGAAACGAGAGTGAGAGAGAGAGAGAGAGATGGGTTTATTAATTTCTAAGTTTGCTGCCCCGTCCGGCGCCATCGTCGACCCGCGGTTCTGCGCGTCGTACCCGATCGACCTCACGTTCTTCATCGACGCCGCCTGGTTGAACTGTGACCACCTCGCGGTGACCGACATCAACGGCAACGTCGTCTTCAAGGTCGAAGCCCATAAGTGGAGCCTCAGAAACAGGCAGGTGGTCGTCGACGCCTCCGGCAAGCCTGTGATTTCGATGCAGCAGAAGGTCCACCTCCTCATCTCTGCTTCGCCTCCTTCTTTCTGCAAAGTCCAAGACGTTGACTCTGGTTGTTCTGTCATGCAGCTGAGCAGCATCCATGACCGGTGGCTAGTCTTCAAGGGAAATAGCTCAGATCCTAAGCATCTGCTGTTTAGCGTCAGGAGGAGTTCTGCTTTCCAATTCAAGACCGAGTTGGACGTGTTCTTAGCTGCCAACAAGGAGGAGGAGGTGTGTGACTTCAAGATCAAGGGAAGCTTCCGCAACAGATCATGCACTGTGTACAAGGGCGACTATTCCATGGTGATCGCGCAGGTACTTACCTTCTCCAGAATAAACTGTACAGCACACGGATCTCAGCAGCTTTAGATTTAGATCAAAGCATTGATTGCAAGTTTTATGTGGAGTTGAATGGTTAGAATTGTGTGATATGTGTTGAGAAGAAACATGTTAAAGCGGAATAATTCTTTCCCTCTTTGTGTATTAAAATAGGCTCTTCATCAAAATACTAACTTAATATCCAAATGAAAATATCAACCAGCACAGCATAAACAATAGAGCAAAACTCAATCACACAGTGAGACCAAATCTTTTTAACATGAAAAACTCAATATGGGAAAAACCACGAGATCGTAGTCCACCTCAAACTTCCATTATCAATAATAATGATAACAGGTTTACAATAGGTATTCTCTAGAATAACTAGAGGATCAGAATAACATCAAGATCATAGATCTTGGCTCAAGAACAACATATCTTCATCATGTAGATGGATCTCCTCAAAAGAGAATTCTAGGTCTCACAAAGTAGATATCATAGGAAAGTACCTTAGAGAGGGTAAACTGTAGATCAATACCGTTAGGATTGTAGAGTTTGCTACAAGGATTCTCCACATAAAATTTGGGTCAAAACTGACAACGTTTGGCCACCGATCGTCAAGCAGAAAACTCATAAACCTAATCTTTCTCTCTCTCTCTCTCCTCTTTCCTCTGCACGTCGCCGCACGCTCACTGTCCATCCGCACGCTCACTGTCCATCCGCACGTTCACTGTCCATCCGCACGCTCACTGTGCAATCTCACAGCGCACACTGCAATCTCTGTCATCACCCAATTTTGCTCTTTCTCTCTTTCTCTAATTTGGGCTCGAACAACCCAATTTGTCCAAGCTCACATATGGGCTGTACCCAACAATTCTCCCCCTCCAGCTCATATGGTGGGCTGTACCAAGCCCGCTCTTCGCCTACATGCTTCAAGCTTCTCCTTAAGCAAAGACTTTGTCAATATATCTGAACCATTCTCATCGGTATGCACCTTTTCCAACTGTATTTCTTTCATCTCAAGCACATCATGAATCCAGTGATATCTCACATCAATATGCTTGGATCTCGATTGGTATGTTGAATTCTTGGAGAGGTGAATGACGCTCTGACTGTCACACTAAACAGTATATCCTTCCTGTTTCAAGCCCAATTCCTGTAGAAACTTTTTCATCCATAAAGCTTCCTTGCAGGCTTCAGTAACTACTATGTATTCTGCTTCTGTGGTTGATAGAGCAACACACTTCTGTAACTTAGACTGCCAAGAGACTGCTCCTCCTGCAAATGTCATCAAGAATCCTGAAGTGGACTTCTTGGAATCAGTATCACCTGCCATGTCTACATCTGTGTAGCCTTCTAACACAGGTTCATCACTGCCAAAATATAAACACAACCTGGAAGTACCTCTTAGATATCTTAATATCCATTTCACTGCTGCCCAATGTTCCTTTCCAGGATTAGAGAGAAATCGGCTGACAACTCCAACTGCATGAGCTATATCTGGCCTAGTACAAACCATAGCATACATCAAACTGCCTACTGCAGATGAGTAAGGCACTCTGGACATTTCTTCTTTTTCTTTCTCACTTGTAGGACATTGTTTCGAACTAAGCTTGAAATGACCTGTAAGTGGGGAACAAACTGCTTTGGCTTTACTTATGTTGAATCTTTCAAGAACCTTTTCAATGTAAGTCTCCTGAGATAGCCAAATCTTCCTTTTCTTCCTATCACGAAGAATCTTCATGCCAAGTATTTGTTTCACCGATCCTAAGTCTTTCATGGCAAAAGACTTACTTAACTCTCTTTTAAGCTTTCCAATTTTTCCAACATTATGGCCAACAATCAACATATCATCAACATATAGCAGTAAAATAATAAAATCATCATCTGAAAATTTCTTCATAAACACACAATGATCAGATGTGGTTCTATCGTACCTTTGACTCATCATAAAGGAATCAAACTTCTTATACTACTGTCTAGGTGCCTGTTTGAGTCCATATAAGCTTTTCTGTACAGCACACGGATCTCAGCAGCTTTAGATTTATTTCAAAGCATTGATTGCAAGTTTTATGTGGAGTTGAATTGTAAGAATTGTGTGATATGGCGATGCAGATGAGCAAAGAATACAAATTAGTGAATGGATTGGTATCCAAGGATGCTTTCGGGGTGGCCGTCAACCCAAACACCGACTACTCCTTCATTACTGCTCTGACCATCATTCGATATAAGTTCTTTAAAAAAGACACTGGAATCTCTGATGTAATCTCTGATGTAATCTCTGTTGTAAGCTCAAATGGAATCTCAACTGCACTCATATCTGCAATCTCAGCTGCACTAGGTGGATCCTAATTCTCCATGCCTGCTAGTATAACAGCGAGTGACTTCCTCTGCAGCATGAAACCACAGATGGATACTTGGTGAAGACTTGGATGTTCATGGGAGACTTGGGTTGTAGTACTTAATCTTATGTTCCTCCTTTTGTGTTATCGTGGGATGGCTATATATGTATGAAAGATTATAGTTTGTAAGATTATAGTAGTTTGCACCGCAGCTGAACCTGTTTAGAGATCATATATATGTATAACAGGGAAGTGAAAGTGAGGTGGATATTGGGTCTCTTCTCAGCCCTATGCACTGTTTAGAGATCATACATAAAGCTTGTTTGAAGAGCTCACTGCCACTTCTTTCAAGCATTGAAGATTCATGTTTCCTGATCTTTTCGGTGTTCTGTTTATCCTTTTTGTTATTAGGAGATTTATGTGTATCTTTTGATTAGGAATCTCAACTAAATATTATAGCTGATCATGCTTTTTCAGTGGACAAAAGAAAATGAAAGCTACTTGACATCGTCAAGACTGAAGAAGGACCCCTTTCTTTGTTTTGTGCCTCAGATTTATTAGGCTTGTCTGCTTGCACTGACCCACTCTCTGAAGAGGTCTTTGAGAGATGACGGGCTAATTTTCTATTGCCTCCTCACTTGAGTTTGTGTCTCATGTCATCTATTTGCGTCATACCTTCAACAAATACTTGAAACGATCCACTTGATCTTTATCCACCAATTCAGCTGTAAGAGAGAGAGAGAGATAAGATGATGCAATCGAGTAGTCGGACTTCTCGGCCCGACGCCATCGTCGACACGCGGTTCTGCGCTTCGTACCCGATCGACCTCACGTTCTTCATCGGCGCCTCCTGGTTGAACTGTGACCGCCTCGCCGTGACCGACACCAACGGCAACGTCGTCTTCAAGGTTGTAGTCCGCAAGCGGAGCCTCAGAAGCTGGCATGTAGTCGTCGACGCTTCCGGCAAGCCTGTGATCTCGATGCGGGAGAAGGTCCACCTTCTCACGTCTGCCACACATCCAACTTTGGCTGTTCCGTCATGCAGCTGCGTAGCGTGCATGACCGGTGGCAGGTCTTCAAGGGAGATAGCTCTGATCCTAAATATCTGCTTTTTAGCGTCAAGAGGAGTTCTTCTCTCCAAGTCAACACCGTGTTGGATGTGTTCTTAGCTGCCAACATCAAGGAAGAAATCGTAAGATGATAATAGACACTTCAACAACTATATTCTCAAACCTCATCCTCATATATATAAATATAAATATAAATATATATATATATATAATAAATATTCCCATTTGAATTTATAATAAAATATTATTCTGTTATTATAAAAAGATAAATTCAATACTTTGACTCGATAGTAACTCCTCTCTTGATTAAGACTTTTAAACTAAGATCCTATCTAATCGCAAAGCTTGATTTAATATTTGAATATATTCTCTTAAATTAAAGTTTGTAAAAAAAAATTATGAAAAGCCTTAAACTTGATGCAATCTTATGTTGTTGCTATGCGTAATGTTTTTTAGAATCTTTAAATTCTTAACCATGTATTCCATAATGGTTTTTGATGTGCTCGATTTATTCTATCTTATCTGTTCTAATCAATTATAAAACTTCTATTTGTTTGGAATCTTAACTTTCTTGAACCAATCCCTAAATATGAAATCACTCATAAATATCAGACTTTTTTTTGTTATAGAATATTTATCAGATTTTATATTTTTTTATTTTGATCAACAACTTATTTTGATAGGTTAACGATCAACTTTCTAAAATTTTCTTTTCCTATATAGAGGTATGTTAGGATCGGAGCTGCACTAAGGGGGGGGTGAATTAGTGCAGCGAATTAAAACTTGTAAGTTCAAAAATGGTTCCGTAAAATGCAAAGAGATTTCACTTTGATTGTAACTTGAGTAAAGGAAAAAAATCGGAAATGATTGCAGAAAGATAAGTAATCACAAATTAAATGAACACGTCAATTTAAAGTGGTTCGGTCAAATGATCTACATCCACTTGCGAAGCCTTCTTCAACGAGGCTCTCAACTTTCACTAGCAAATCACTTTGAAGGAGAAGGACTAATACCCCTCTTACAACCTTTACAAGTGGTTCACACTCTTACAATTTTTTCAACAAGAAGGAAGGAGGTGAACACTCAAGCAATTTGAAAACAAGACTTGCTAAGACTTTGCTAAGGCTCTTATCTTAAACTATTGCTTTGCAAAAGTTGTATACTCTGCTGAGAATTGAGGGGTATTTATAGGCTCCAAGAGGATTCAAATTTGGGCTCCAAATTTTGAATTATCTTGGGTTTCCGAGACTGACGGTACCACCGCCTGTCAATGTCTGTCAGACGGTGTACTGGCGGTGCCACCGCCTGATCTCAGGTGCTGGGCGGTGCCACCGCCTGGTCTGGCGATGCCACCGCCTGACACTTCGGGCTCTGGGCGGTGCCACCACCCAATCCGACGGTTCCATCGCCCATCCTTACTGATCTCTGGTTAGGCTTCAAGTCCATCCCAAACCAGGTCACTTTTGGGCCCAATTGGCCCTTAACAAGGATATAGGATTATCCTTTAATCCTAACCCTAATTACATGTGAACTACGTACCTAAAAACATAATCCTAAGCAAGTTTTTAACCGGCAAACGTCGAGTCTTGTTCCAGTGAGCTTTTCGACGATCTTCCGGCGGACTTCCGATACGCTCTCTGGTTTCTTCCGACGGACTCCCAGCAGGCTCCCGATCTTGTGACGAATTCAACGAGTAGCCGAGCCTTCTCGGTGATCTCTGCGAACTTCTGACAATCTCTTCGGCATACTTCTGAAAGTTTCGACATGTCTCCGATCTTTCTTGGTTGGTTCCCACATCATCTCCGATGAAACTTCGGACTCTCAAACATCCATGGAACTTGACTCCAGTATCCTTGCTTTATGTTTTTAGGCTATCGTAGTTAATCCTACACACTTAACTTCAATATTATGGATTAGATCAATTAACCCATCAATTGATTTCATCATCAAAATTCGAGATTCTACGAGGTAAAATATATTTATGTTTCTGATGGAAATTAAATAATCAAATCCAACATAATCATCTACTCCAATAAAATTAATATTATGCATATGGTAGATTGTATTTTGTACAATCACAACGTAGGAATGTTATTGAAAAATCTATCATATCTGATGAGGTATCTTCATTAACTTTTTCTATTAAGATATTTTCATTTTCTTCTACCTATATATCATGTTTTTTTTTTTTTACTTCAAACAACATAGAAGGATATATACCTCTTTTATAAATATCTTTTAAAATTAATGAGACTTCTGTCTTAATTCTATAGATTCATGAAATAATATTTTCATCTAGTATTCATAAATTAGTACTCCTTTATCATCTATTATTCTTCGGAGAGTAATACAAAATCTATATCGTTTATCATATTTTTATAAAGAGTAATAAAAGTTTTATATATTTTATTATATTTTTTTAATAATCGAAGATAAATTTCATTTAAACTTTTTGATATGAGAGAAATAATAACGAGATCTAAAATAACAAATAAAAGTCATTATCCAGACCTTCAATCTTCTCTTTTGTATGCAAATTATTTTTTCTATTGAACATCTCTATCATATTATAATCTAATTTATCCATTGCATTTTGATTATCTCCTCTAATTGTCGGATCTACTTCTCGTTGATATTCTAATTAATTCTTAATTATATTATCTTAAGATCTGATTTCTTTTTCTAATAATTTATTTCTCTTCCGTTTCTTCCTAGGGTTTTCTCTCTCCTTAGACTTTCTATCTCTATTATTTCTCTCTCCTATGATTTTCTCTATATAATTATTTATCTCTCTAATAGACTTATTTTCTCTCTCTAAGAGGTCTAATTCTCTCTCTAGTGAGATATTGATTAAGGTTCTAATTTTTGAATCTGATGATGAAACCAATTAATATAGTTTATGATCTAATATATGTTTTGAGTAACACAGGACTAGCTTCGATCATAAAGAAATAATTAAAGTAAGAAAATTTAATGTTGAGCCGGAGTGGAACATATCAGAAGATTGGACGTCAAACCGGAGGATCGGTCAATGTGTTGGCAGAAGGCTTTGTGCCATGAGTAATCGAGCCTAGAAGAGCAGACATTGCACTAAGGAGATCGGAGTTGCGGAGGTCAACATGTCGATTGGGCAAGAGGCCGCAAAAGAGAACGATGTGCCAAAGGATTTGACGAAACGCCGATAAACCAATGATATACCGGATAATATGTGATTAATCCTTTATAATAATTGTCTAGCTTGAAGTAGTTTAAGTTGTAATTGGATCGCCAACTCAATTAATAATCCCTCAAATCTCGAATATGTAAACATGATCAAGACTCTATCTTATTTCTTCTCTCAATGTAGTCTAACCATTCGTTAATAGAAGGATAATTCAAAACTATGATATGTACTTGGTAAGACTTTTAAGCCAAAATCCCATCTAATCACATAATTTTCTCGCCTTTAGATTTGGATCAAAGCTTACGGTTCTTCCAACATTCGATTACATGAAATGGAACTTAGTGATATTGGCATTCACTTCTGGATGCAAAAAAGGCTTGTGGAAGATAGGTGGTCTAGTTCAATATATAATCATTTTTATGCTGAAATCATGTTTGATATCAGTCGATCCGAAAGGCCACTCTGTTAATGTGAGGAATTAAGGTAGGTTTGGCTTAGAAACCATTGCAAGTTGATAGAATTGTGTGACATGTCAATGCAGATGAGCAAAGAATACAAATTAGTGAACAGCTCAGTATCCAAGGATGCTTTCGGGGTGGCCGTCAACCCAAACACCGACTTCTCCTTCATTACTGCTCTGGCCATAATTCGACATGAGTTCTTTAAAGTAGACGCTGTAACCTCTGATGAAATCTCATTTGCAATCTCAGCTGCAGTAGGTGGATCCTAATTCTCCAAGCCTGCTAGTATAACAACGAGTGACTTCCTCTGCAGCATGAAACCACAGATGGATACTTGGTGAAGACTTGGATGTTCATGGAAGACTTTGGTTGTAGTACTTAATCTTATGTTCCTCCTTTTGTGTTATTGTGGGTTGGCTATATATGTAAGAATTGATATTTATTGCACCGCAGCTGAACCTGTTCAGAGATCAGGAAAGTAAAAGTGAGGTGGATATTGGGTCTCTTCTCAGCCCTATGCACTGTCTAGAGATCATACATGAAGCTTGTTTGAAGAGCTCACTGCCACTTCTTTCAAGCATTGAAGATTCATGTTTCCTGATCTTTTCAGTGTTCAGTTTATCCTTTTTGTTATTAGGAGATCTATGCGTTTCTTTTGATTAGGAATCTCAACTAAATATTATAGCTGATCATGCTTTTTCAGTGGACTAATTCCACCTTTCCCCCTAAAGAAAACGAAAGCTAATTGACATCGTCAACACTGAAGAAGAACCTCAGATTTATTAGGTTTGTCTGCTTGCACTGATGCACTCTCTGAAGCGGTCTTTGAGAGATGATGGGCTACTTTTCTTTTGCCTCCTCACTGGAGCTTGTGGCTCATATCATCTATTGCGTCATCTTAAACAAATACTTGACTCGATCCAGTCTTCCGCTTGATCTTTATCCTCCAATTCGGCTGTCAGAGAGAGAGAGAGAGAAGATGGGGGACTCGAGAAGTCGGATTTCTCGGCCCGACGCCATCGTCGACCCGCGGTTCTGCGCGTCGTACCCGATCGACCTCACGTTCTTCATCGACGCCGCCTGGTTGAATTGTGACCACCTCGCGGTGACCGACATCAACGGCAACGTCGTCTTCAAGGTCGAAGCCCGTAAGTGGAACCTCAGAAACAGGCAGGTGGTCGTCGACGCCTCCGGCAAGCCTGTGATTTCGATGCAGCAGAAGGTCCACCTCCTCATCTCTGCTTCGCTTCCTTCTTTCTGCAAAGTCCAAGACTTTGACTCTGGTTGTTCTGTCATGCAGCTGCGTAGCGTCCATGACCGGTGGCAGGTCTTCAAGGGAGATAGCTCGGATCCTAAAGACCTGCTATTTAGCGTCAGGAGGAGTTCTGCTCTCCAATTCAAGACCGAGTTGGACGTGTTCTTAGCTGCCAACACGGAGGAGGAGGTGTGTGACTTCAAGATGAAGGGAAGCTACCGCAAGAGATCATGCACGGTGTACAAGGGAGATTCTTCCACGGAGGTCGCACAGGTTATAGGCCTCGAATTTTGTCGGAATTCTTTTATGAGAAGATGATGAGCATACATATCTGTCTCAAACCTCATACATACATATATAATAATCTCTTTTAAATTTATAATAAAATATTATTCTCTGATTATAAAAAGATAAACTCAAGACTTTAACTCGATAATAAATCATATCTGATTAAGACTTTAAAACTAAGATCCTATCGAATCGCAAAGCTTGATTTAATATTTTAACATACTCTCCTAAATTAAAGTTTGCAAAAAAAATTATGAAAAACCTTGAAGCTTGATGCAATCTTATATGTTGTTGCTATGTGTAATGTTTTTTAGAATCTCTAAATTCTTAACCATGTATTCTATATTAGCTTTCTATGTCCTCCATTTATCTTTTCTTATCTATTCTAGTCAATCGTAAAACTTTGATTTGTTTGGAATCAATATCGTCAACTTTCTTCGATCATTCCCTAAATATGAAATCAATCTGATCAACACTGCATAAATATCTAACTTTTTTTTGTCATAGAATATTTATCAGGCTTTATAACTTCTAGATCTTGAATAATAATGATCTTTATATCGACATGATCGACAACTTATTTTGAATTGTTAAGGATCAACTTTATAAAAAAAAAATTCTATAGAGAGGTAAAAATAAAATATATTTATGTTTTTAATGGATAATCATCTACTCCAATAAAATTAATATTATGCATATGATACTTTGAATTTTGTACAATCTTGACATTCAGTAAGAATGTTGTTGAAAAATCTCTCTACCAGATGATGGGCATCAAGAAATCATGGAGTATAATAGAAAAGAATAGAGATATTTTAAGAGCTAAAAACTCATATTAAACATGATAACTTATAGTCTCTCAAATCCTGAATATCTAAACATGATTAAGGCTCTACTTATCTTTTATCTCAATGTTGTGTCTAAATCATTATGTGAAACCCTCTATTAATAAAAGGATAACTCCAACTATCATATGTATTCCATAAGACTTTTAAGCCAAAATCCCATCTAATCACATAATTTTCTTGCCTTTAGATTTAGATCAAAGCTTACATTTCTTCCAAACATTGGATTACATGCAAAATATCTTGTGGAAGATAGGTAGTCTAGTTCAATATAAAATCATTTTTATGCTGAAACCTTGTTTCATATTAATCGATCCGAAAGGCCACTTTGTTGATGTGAGGAATTAAGGTAGGTTTGGCTCAGAAACCATTGCAAGTTGATAGAATTGTGTGACATGTCAATGCAGATGAGCAAAGAATACAAGTTTGTGAACAGCTCAGTATCCAAGAATGCTTTTGGGGTGGCCATCAGCCCAAACACTGATCACTCCTTCATAGCTGCCCTGCTCATAATTCAACATGAGCTCCTGCTCCATAATGAACACTCTGAAGCCTCAGGTGCAGTCGTAGGAGGAATCTCCGATGGAATCTTCCAAGGACTCGCAGCTGCATTAGGTGGATCCTAATTCTCCCAACCTGCTAATATAACAATGAGTGACTTCCCCTGCAAATTGTAACTATAGATTGGTATTCTGTGAAGACTTGAAGAATGTTCATGAAAGACTTGGGTTGCAGTTCTTTTCATCTTCCTCGTTTTGGGTTCTTGTGGATTGGCTACAATTTGCCATGTCAGAACAGACATGGTTGTACTTCTTTTATCCTCCCTCTGCAGTATCAAAGGCTAAGGAATTGACTCTCTGACATGCACTGTTGACATTACCAATCATTATTATGTAAAGCAGGAGCTAAGTAAAAGTTTGTCCAAGGATCTCTATCAAACATTATTTTCTTACAACATAAGACTTGCACCGTTGACACTATCTGCTGAATGCCACAAGTAATTTGACTTACAGCTGCATGACATGGTTCTTGCAAACAAGCATGACATGATTCCTACGTACTTGAGTTTACAGAACCAGATTACAGGACATAAACCATCCCGACCTCCAGAAGGGATGCAGGAGGCACACGGAGGGCCACGTCAGGCCCCCGACAATTCCTTCTCAAGAAGTTGTAAGCAACGTCGATCGCCAGCTTTTTCATGATCGATGATCCTGGCTTCGCTTGAACATGAGAATGCCCCAGTATAAAGGTACACCCGAATTCGCGCGCGGCCAGTAGATCCTCAAGCTCTTCCCTCACGGCCTCCGACAATGCTGAGTTATTGTTCTCCTCTAGGAAGAATCTGACCTTCTTTACTGTAGTCTCGGGTGCCAGCTCTATTGCATTTTCCTCATAAGGAAGCTCAGTATTATAATCGAGGTGGCGGCGTGTAAGCAAATTGCTCCCAGCAACAGTAAGTCCATATTCATAACCATCCACTGACTCACTAGACTGATGTCCACCGAGTGATGCTTCGAGCCATACGAAGTCAGATAAACTTGCAATGAGCTCAGACTCAAAAGCATTAATGTCCTCCTGGACGTCACGGTACCCATACCGAACAATACACCTGTAAGAACGATGATTCGGCGGTCCAACACGTCCCACAAGATATCTTTCGGCAGGAGGCACAAACGGAACAGGAACAGATTTCACACACACAAAGACCAGGATGCGATGGAATGCAGGGAGGTTGGTGACAAAGTGGGAGAAATTGGCAGGCACGCCAGCGATGAGATCAGTGTAAACAAGGGCAATGCCAGGAACACGAACGATACCAAGTTTCTCGCCAAGGGCAAGGAGCCAATCCAAGGAGACCTTGTTGTGTAGGTCGAACTCATATTTTTTTATTGTGGCATAATGCCAGACAAACATGATAATCATGAGAAAGAGTGCAAGTAGGATAGGAAGCCAGGCACCCTCAAGGAACTTGATCAGGGAGGCAGAAAAGTAGAGGACCTCGATGGAGCCGAAGAAGAGAAGAAACACAAGGGCCAAGAATGGAGACTTGTGCCAGCAAAGGATCATGACTAGGGAAGTGAGGCATGTGGTCACCAGCATAACAGTGATTACTGCTAGTCCTGCATTGTGCAAACAGGAACGTAAGGAATCCCTGGAGTGAAAAAGATAAAAGAGTGCTAAGTGGAAAATGGCAACAGACATCAAAGTAATATCTAAATAATTAAAAATACCAGAAGCATTTCCCATGTGCTTTATGTCTCTGAATCCAACGGCAACAGCGATACAGAGGATCATCAGCATCCAATTGACCTCTGGTATATAGATTTGACCATGAATTTTTTCGGAGGTGTGAACTACCTTGACTCTTGGAAAACACCCGAGTGATTGGCTCTGATTAATGATAGAAAATGTTCCGCTGATAATTGCTTGGCTCCCGACAACTGAAGCTAGTATTGCTATTCCAAGTACCGGCCATCTTAAGCATTCTATAGAAACAATATTAAAATCTCTAAGCAAAATTCTGGGTTTTCCATATTGATTAGAAGTGTCATGCACATTTACTTGCAACATAGTCATAATCAGATAAACATAAAGCCAAATTTGCAGCATGTTTTTCACTATAAGACCAGGAAAGTCGGTGTCAAACCATCAAGTTGAAATGTATACTAAAATAATTAAATTATATTCATTACACAAGCTCTCTCGTAGATTCTTTTCTAAGATGCTGGCTGAGAGTAGCATGGTAAAAATAAAAACGCTAAAGAACAATGATTTTGATTATATTTAAGATATAGTGATTGACTCTGAATGTATCATATCTGTTCTCCTAATAATACTTTAATATAATGGCAGGAAACTTTAAATCGGATCAATTCTATTACTTAATGTGCATAGTTTTTTATTTCTAAGCTGTTATCCTATCATTTAACTATATTTGGAGACAATTTTTTTATTAATGATGCAAATAAACTCAAATTGTCCTATCATTTGCTAGAGGCACAGTGGATTATCCATTCTTCTAAGACAGATTCAGCTATTGACCTAAGTATTCAGCCTTTCTGCCTTTCTCAACGTAAGTTCAAAATTTCTGAAAACACACATGAATTTCATTCAACAACTATCATAATTTTCAAATTCTTTTAATACAGTTGCATATTTCTTGAGGTAGACTACAAATGTTGCTTTGCCCATCGATTGGATACTTGTTCACATCCTCTCTCTTTAAGACATTCTTAATGAGTATACTTCATCCTTGGACATGTCACACAAATCAAGAAACATAATTTTGCTACATTAATTCCTCAAAAAGTAGTAGATCTTTGAAGTCATTTTGAAGTTGTGAACTCCTATCCTTTACACAATACTTTCTCAGAATCTCATTTATTGCTAGTCAGTGCCAAGTATCCTTTTACACCCTGATTTCCATTTTTGATTTCCTTTTTAATTATTATATCATTGACATCTAAATTCATTATAAAAAAGCCTTTCATACATTACATGTCAGACCTAATTCTTTAGTCATAATCATTGATTGTTAGATACCCAAGTACAGCACCAGACACGTGATAAACTTACTCAATCCTCTCTCCGACATCATATAGTTTAAACCAATTATCTCTGGGGTTAGGTCTTTAACTAACAGTGACTTCATGCTAGTTCACCAGCAATCACACTCATAATGCTGTACATCCTCTCTCAAAGATACTGAAGTGAAAAGATCTGTTTGACCTCTTGAAAACAGCCAACTGGACTAGCAATCATGCACCCGCAGGAAGTTACCTAAATCTGACTTATTAGATAAATATTGTCATATAGAGAACACTATAGTACTTGATATTATAAATAATTTAATGATTTTAAAATGGAAATATTACTTTTGTAGTAGATTGTTGCTCCATGTCATTTATGTTAAGCTATATGTGTGACAAGCGCATTACTGTGAATTAAGAGCACATACCTGGAACCGAAGCATAAAAGCCAATCTGGTAACTGGTATAGATTCTATGATGCTTCGACAAGTAAGCAGCTTGACCCATGTATGCCAAAATGAGCGAGGGATAAACTACGAAAGTGAAAGCAACCTAAGATAGGCATAGAAATATAAGATCAATTACAAGTTGATAGATGAAAAAGAAGATAAATTAATAAATTTCCCAAAAAAAAAAAAAAGAACCTGAATTGCAGTGTACGAGAAGTGACCGAGGTCTGCAAACATTGCCTCTGATCCTGTTATTGTAGTGCTTTTGAAGTAAGTCAGGAATTGTTTAATTTAATGTGTTCAAAATTTAACTACTGGGAAAGTTATTGGGGTTTAATCTTCAATGGAAATAATAAGAAATCACTAGTTCATAGGTTTTCCATAACTACAAATGCAAGGGTTTGAGTAATTGTTGATGTGGGACACTTACATTTATTCTTTTGCATAACTATATTTGGATTCATGAGATTAACATATTCATAATGCCAGAAAGAAGTCCTAAAGCAGCTACTAGTAGATTATTAATGAAAAAGATAATATTTTGAATTTACCTGTTATGCACAGTAATATCCCACCCAATGACATCCAGCCACCCTTTTTTGTCTTTTTCAAGAACTTAAACATATAATATGGAGAAAGTGCTTGATAGACATGTTGGTTCCAGCGGATGATATTGTATATGCCAAGGCCGCTGATGCACAATAGCCAAGTCAGAACAACTGGTGCAAACAGAATTCCAACCCGATGTGTACCATAGTGTTGAAGTGCAAACAAACATACTAAAATGAAGCATGTTATTGGTACCACCGCATCTGCATACATGGATGTTTCATCAGACAAGATATTGATCTATGATTTATATGGTTTCTCATAACTAATTTGCATCAGACACAATTACAAGATGATTTTATCTTAGTGCAATTCAATTTCATGGGCTTATCAGTCTGTGTTCTAACTTTCCTTGGACTCCTTTAGATATCAACCAACATTAAGTTTACAGCTAAGCACTGGCATCATTCATGTTGCTCCAGAGGACAATTTTAGAAGCATAATTCATTAATTGACTAACAATCTTAAAATAACATTCTCAGATCAAGTTAGTTACTTCAAACAGAAGTATACATATTTGCTATATTCAAGGTTGTGGCTGTTTTAGTTTCTGCTCTATTGGCTGTTTCATGCAGAATAATATAAGTAGAACAAGTCGTAGGTTTGCAAAGATAATATTCAATTAATGAGGTCATTGATGATTTAATTGGCATTTTGCTACAACCAAATGATCAAATCTATCAGAAAGTTGCATTCAAATAACAGTAGTTATCAGAGAATTACAGTTAGATGGCCATGGTCCACACTCCGTATGTAAAACCTGAACAGAATTAAGGATGAAGGAGAATATAGACACCATAAGGGAACCCTGAAGAAAGGAACTAAGAGGAACAAAAGGCTCAGAAAGAAGGAAAATGGCTCTTACACAAGGATAATTACATCCTTGAGTTTGTGAAGATTTATGCAGCTTAGATTTGAGCAGAAGCTCTACACCAAAAAGGAACAATAGATAAATGACACGATATATGGAGTTATCAAGCTAATAAGGATTTTCCTGCATATAACAATCTAGTGATTGTTTCAACATAATGTATCACACCATGAAAAAGGTGAAAGTATTGAAAAGGGAGTTTGCAACTTTCTCATTCATCGTAACGCTAGTGAAACAGTCTCTGTTACACACCCCAAAAAAAAAAGAAGCATCCAAAGAAAAAAAAAAGAAGCATTCATGAATTAGCTAATTTTACATTCATGGTGATGCTTGGACATGGACAGCTCAAGCCCTGAAACTGCAGAAAAAACTGGAGACAAAAGGAGAAGGTTAGCAGAATCATAAGGGTATCTTTACAAAAGTATAGGAAAGCAAAATGATGATCGCACGTACTTGATATGGCTGGAGTGAGAACTCCATCACCAATTACCATACAGGTACCAAGCATAACTACAATCAACAGAGCAACATGCAGGCTCTTGTGCTTCTCAAGCCAAATTTTGATCCTTGACCTGTTTGTTGTTTCCGGAGGGTGCTCATATTTGTAAGTAGAGAGATCTTCATCTGCAACCTGTCTGTTTGGCAGAAGGCTTACGTTTGCATGTCGACATATCAAAGAGTACAATGCAAAAGTACCTCCTGCAAAATAATCAATTAGACAGTGAAAACAGGTCAATCTCATTGCTGCAGAAAAGATATCTCAATGGCTACAGACTTACCCTCGCCATTGTCATCAGCCCTTAGAACTATGAAGACATATTTGAAGAGAGGAACTAGTGTAAGAGTCCAGAATACAAATGACAGTGCACCAAAGATCTCTTCATTTGTTTCTGAATGTGTGATATCTTCCGCAAATGTACTCTTGAAGACATATAGAGGAGATATACTCAAGTCTCCATAAACCACACCCAAGCTCTGATATGCCAGAAACAGCATGGTCTTCCAAGAATCTTTCTGAAAATCAACTAAAGTTTTTCAGCAAATAATCTAAATTTCAAAGAATGTCTTCATCACCAAAGTTTGTCACATCCACTTGTAAGTCGCAATCACTATCACTGTCTCAAGAAATCTGCAAGAAGAAAGTAACAACAGAGACTAATAAAGCAAAAGGCTAGACCTTCTGAAATATCGGGATGCTCCCAATCTCGGGATCCATTGTTCAACTGGAACTTTATTCTTCAGGTACAATCGCTATCTCAGAGCTACTTTCACCGGAAGATCTGCATTATGACAGCATAAATATCCGAGAATTGTAATAGAAGCAAACCACAAAAAAGAAGATTTCAGACAATTTATTTCAAAGCTCAGCAAGCAAAGATAACCTCCCACACACATAATGCTCTGCCCAATCCCAAACTTAACCCTAACACAATCAATCTCCCACAGAATAGTCCCTTGAACATCGGCTTTCAACACAATTCCTCTATTGTTAAACAAAACAATAAAAAGTGGGTTACCTTATCATGTCATGCTGATCAGAAACTAAGGAGAAGAAAGTTTAACATTGATAGAAATGAAGAAGCCATGTGCAGCATAATCTACCAACACACAAAGTTCAAATGTTGCTACTCCCACATGGCCAACTAAATTTTTATCAGCTCCACAGACTTGGCATCAAATAGGTAGTGGATTTCAAGGTAAAAGAAGGGAGAAAGGATAGCCAAAATGTCAAAAGCAAGGAAAAAGATGGCGGGGCAATGAAAATACCAGAAGTTGGAGGAAGAAAGCAAGGGGAGCAAATCCACATGAGCTTCACAGGCACACTCGTCATATCCAACCACAAAGGGTACTGATAGCATTAATGTGGTGAGACTTCGCAACCAGAAAAAATCTAAATTCAATATGTTTTTTCAACCAAAAGCTAGTCATAAAATCCACTTATTTAGCAATTTCAACACAATGGATATCAGATTATTCGAACTCACTGGCCCTTCGAAAAGGTAGTTCAAAGAATCATAAAAATGCGATTTTTACGACGAGTTTTCACTCAAGAACGAAGCAATGAAAGCGAGAACGCCGAGAAGGGAAGCACACACACCATGTGGATGGAGAAGAGCGGATTGGAGAGCACTGGGGTGGGCCAGACCGGTCGAACACCGCTGCTGCATTGCGACGCGACACAGCCGAAAGCGATCGTTACCACTCGCGCCTAACGCACCAGGACCGACCAAACCCTAACCTTCCAAATCCTCGCCGTCGCCTCTCCTCCTCTCGCCCGTTGCTACTTTCTTTGTCCTTATCGCTGCCTTCCTTCCCCTCACACGACAGCAACACCAACGCAGAACCTAAAAGATCGAGACTTGACCATCTTCTAGCACTATACTACTCTTTAATGGAACAACTGACAAGTCCCCGATCAAACGCCTCGGCGGTCCTTCCTCGTTCCCCTCTACTCGCCTTCGATATCTTCCTATCTCCTCGAATTAATGCGAGACCTGCCACCAACTGGAGCCATTAAATAGCCGCCCGCCCACATGGCCCTCGAATCGCCTTCCAAAATCCCATCTTTACGAAGAAAGCTCGGCGAAATCTAAGCCCCATTGCAAGGATTTCAGCTCAAGACAATCATCCAAGCAATGCTTTAGGAGATTCAGCGATCCATTCCCTCGCCATTGTTGCCGCTTCTCCGACTGGTTTACCGAGAGTGAGATCTGTGAACAGGCCGGGGAGAAGCCGGCACGAAACAATTGTTTAACGACAATTATTGGTACTCATTTACACGTACCCCTCTAGGTACCCTTCTTATTATTGGAAACGTCGTCGCTGCCTTGTGCACGATGCAGGTCGGGTATCCACTGAGTATAAAATAAGCGGGTTGGAAAAGTGTGCTCGTATTATAATATATCGCTACGTTATGTCGGCACCGCAAAATCCGAAACGTCGGAATAAATGTCTGGTGATTGGGATCACGCTTTAATTAACTCCAATCTTATCGTATGCGTATCTTTTAGCGGTCTGTAATTGGACCAAATTTAATGTTCGTATCATTATATACATGAACGAGAAATATCTCATTCCAAACAAAAATTAATTTATGGTTTTATTTTTTGGTGTTATATTGTGCTCTTATCCTAACTTGAAGGGTTGATAAAATCATTTAATCTCACGATGAGTATGGGAATAAGGATTCATAAATTCACGGGATCCGAAAAGAGACGGCCCATCGTCCAAAGCAGATGATTCCTCGTGAGTTTACGGACCGCATCAATCGACTGACCAAATGATCCCATATCATATATGAATCACATAAAATCATCTTTATCAGTAGTACACGCCAATCAACAATCGATAATACTCTTTTCGATACCAAAGCACGAAACGTATACATACATATGTATATGTATACCGAATTCTCTTTTTTACCGAGGGAGCAACAAAGGAGTCCGTCGGAGATCGCTAATTGATCGCCAAGGTTTGAGAATTCCCTCTTCCCGCCCCTCCTCCAATAGCTGCATGCTTCTTGCTTCTCGATGCGTTAAGGGTACCAATTCCGGTTCCGGATCGTGATCTTTGGCTCTCAAAACGCGCTTCGGATCGGTCAGATTGCTTTAGATTTGTCCCTTTTCTTGCCATTCCCGTCAGATTGGTAAACTGATCCGATTTGCTTGCTTTCATCTTCTGTTCTGCTGAGGATTGGATGAAAAGCCTCGTCTCTTTCTTTTCTTTTGGGGCCTTTTGCGGATTTGATGTGTACTCTGATGTTACAGTTTTATGTAATTTGATCTGTTCTTAGATCTTTGGTTGGGAACAGTTTTTGGAGAAAGAAAACAGGGGATTGTGTGATTATGTACTTGGATCTTGGTGTTGAAGGTGGGGGAGGAGTGGGTTAGTCGGGGATCTCTCAAGTATATCCCGTATGTTCTTGGGGTCTGCCTTTTCCGAGGAATGTATGATTAGCTTGTGAAACTGGGGGTCCAAATAGCTCGAAAGAGTTGTAGGTGGAAGAAGGACAAGCATACGGTTGGCCCTTTTCTCGAATGACCACAACTCAATTTAGTCCTCGAAGACAAATTCTAGGGTTCTAGCTTTTTTTTTTCTTCACATTACCTGACCTATGACCATTCAATGAAATTATTTGTACTCTGATCGAGTTAATTTTTTGGTGCAGTTCTAGAGATGGAGTTTTCATGATGCCTCACAATTGAGATTCTGGTGGCCAGCTTAGAACCAATTGAGACCTTCGCTTGTGACAAGCCACCAGGTCAGTAACGTAAGAAACTTGGGTTTTATCCTCTTTTTCATCCTCAGCACGAAGGGGCATTTAAGCAATAGAGTTTACCAACGTAAGAGTTCCTGAAAAAGAATGTGTCAACTTTGCCTTGACTTCTCATCAAGATATCTCAGTTATGGCTTCTTTCGATCTTATCCTCCTATGCATGCCATTGTGGTTGTTTCTGATAATTCTGCAAGTATTTCTTTTAATTAGAATTGATGCTCCGTTGCCTTCAACAGAATAGAGAACACTTCCAGATTTCATTTAGGACCTACAAAATAAAACTATGTCGGACAGCACCTTTTGAAGTGAATCATGATCTCATAAAATTTCGTTTTAACGACCTTTTATACCTTCCATACTACAATTCTAATTGGCTTAATAAACTTTCTAAATCAAATTATATCCACATTGTGTTTTATAGATTTTTTTTTTTTGTTGCTGCAAAGGGTAAGTGATGAAGGCAAGATTCAAGCTCAAGGCCTTGCGATATACTATTAATGTCTTCACCAACTAAACTATGTGACACCTTCAGTTTTATAAATATTAATACAACTCAATATAGGATTGTAAAAACATCCGAAATAGCCTATAATGCGAACGATGGAAATTTTGTTGAAATTTTGTTGAAATTTGACTCTTCTCTATAATCTACCTTAGTAGGATCTTTATCTTGAGCACGCATTTGGTTTCTTTTCTAGGCTATGCATCACAGTTGGTGTTTATTAGAAATTAGTTTACTTTTCATATTCAATACAATCTGGCACAAGTAAACTAGCACTGTTATTTTGACCCTTCAGCTTTGGCCACTAGTAGACCCAAAGATTAGAAATGCTTTCTAGCAAAGCTGTAACTTACCAAATGATAGTTTTGCTATCATGGCCTGTTGAATTCATCATGTATCTTTTCCTGCTGTGTCGACAAAGAGGTGGACATCTGTGTTTTCGGATCATGGCTTGTTCAAGTGATAATCTTTTCTGAAGTAATTGCTTGTGAACAATACTTGGAAGTGCGACTTGGTAGAAATTAGACATTATCAGAGAGGATCTTGCTCGCATATATGTAGCTGAATTAACATCTGTTGTTGCCCACCTTCATGCAGATGGTATAATGCACTGGGACCTGTAGCCTGAGAATGTTCTCCTGGATGCAGATGATCATGTGAGACCTTCTATCTCTTGTTCTGCTTTTCTTCCAATCTGCGTCTTTCTCAATTTTCCCAAGAATGAGTTTCACTAGATCAAACTTCCAATCTTCATCTTTCTCAAGTTTGTCATGTTCTTTTAGGCCATGCCAACTGACTTTGGTCTGGCAAAGAAGTTTGATGAAAACACTAGATCAAACTCCCTCTGCGGAACACTGGTATATGGCACCTGAAATCGTTCCCCGAAAAGGGCCATGATAAAGCTGCTGATTAGTGGAGTGTTGGAATTCTTCTGTTTGAGATGCTGACAGGGAAGGTTGGTTTTTCCTCACCGCTCATCGCATTAGCATTTTATGCATGTTTAATGTTTTGGTTGATATGCAAACAATCTTTCTACGGAGCACGTACATTAACTTTTATGATGCTTAATCTGGAGATGTAGGCTTGCGTCTTGAAACTACTAGAAGAAAATGGATCTCTACATAGTTTTGATGATGCCTACAAACTTCATATGATGGTTATGCTTGCGTTCAAGTGGAAAGTTCTCAGGCTATTATTTTTCCTTGGTCTCAATTGCTGCAGAGAGAAGCAAACAAGCGCCTTGGAAGTCGCAGTGGCCCTGGCAGCAGCGGCAATGAGATAGAGAACCATAAGTGGTTCAAATCTATTACTTGGAAAAAACTGATGCAACGGGAGATCCGGCCTAGTGTTTCTGGACACGGTTGCATTTCCAACTTTGACGAGTGATGGACGACCATGCTGGTGTTGGACTCACCGATTTCCGGCCCAATTGCTGGAGAAAACGACGTATGTGAGGCCCGCTCCTTTTCTTCAGAAGCCTATTACTATCACAAGAGATTCCAAGTGCTCACCGTATTCGTTTTGTAGGACAACGGTGGATGAATGATGCGCTTCTGTCTTGTTGCAGCACGAAAGATTACTGCTTATGAAATTGAGAAAGTGGTAAGACAGAATAAAAGGAGCAAATGTAAGGATGTAAGCCACACTGACAGCTACTCTTTCCATGAGATTGACTCCTCGTCAATGGGCTCTTGCTCTCTTAACCCGTTCTCCACGCAGGTGAAGAAAGAACACTGAATCTGGACTAGCTTGTCAAATCAGTCCTACTAGGCCGAGGAAATAAAACACAGCAATAATTTCGCCGTGCCGGGGTCCAAGCTAGGCCACCAGCTAGCGGCAGTGAAGAGGCTTCTCAGGCCATCCCACCCGAGAAAGAGACTTCCGTGGAGGTGTCCAAGCCAGGCCGTTCTACTTCATCGACGTCGGCATCAGAAGGTCATCCCCGTCTCTGTCACCCCGCCAAGGTGAATGGGTTGGCTCTTCGTCCTGTTCACTTAGATCTTCTGTGCAACAGCTCGCACGTGTTTGCCAGGCGGGCTGCTTCGACCATGTGTCATTTCCTCCTCTCTTTTTTATGCGCACAGGCGAAGGGCTGACGGAGGAAGAGGATAATGTGGGTCGGACCACATGGCGAGGCGGCTGCTGCGTGCGGGCCACAGTGTTACGGTGACCCGTCAAGAGCTGAAATCTGGATAGAATACGATGATGGATTTTTTTTTTTGTTTTTTGGCCACTGAAACATCTCATTGATAGTTGAAAAGCCCTTGAATCCGAAGTAATGGTATGTCACCTGACTTCTTTCGTTTTTAGTAATAATATATAATCAATATTTGGTTTAAATTTATTCTTATCATACAAAATATATGTTTTTTTTTTTTTGCAAAGGATAAAGAAGGAATTTTTTAAAATGTCCTTTTTTTTTTGTATCCTTTAGTTGGAGAATGCTTCGGTCACGTCTGACATCACACGCTTGATTCCACTGGTTTGCTCTCCAGGGACGTGAGATCAACCAAAGCAAATTCCAGGCACGCGATCAATTGCGGAGGGACCTTTCCACGTGGCTGACAGATGGCGCTCCGCATACCAGTCTAACGATCGGACGGCTCCGCGAGGATCATGGAACGACAACCCTCCCGACCACACGTTGACCGCGTTGACGAAGCCGAAGAGGAGGAGGATAAAACAATCCACGCTGGGGGCCCATTCCCGTCGTTTTAGGCGGGTGGGTTTTGCTTCTCCGGGCCCCACTCGTGCCAGCCGCCGCAAAACAACGGACGGGATGGCGCCACGTCTGCCGCAACCCTTGCCGGACCACAAGAGCCACGCCCGACAGATTATTAATATATGTCACCGACTGAGATCATCATCGTGCAGTACGACTTTCAACGACAATATCTCTTCACAACAGACATACAGTGCAATGGTAACATTTCCGCCGCTTACGGTACTCGCTCGGTATAACACACTAATACTCCGGTTTTAACTGGATAAGAAATGGAAAAGACCCCTGTTGAAGGGTAGTATTGTCATTTGAGACATTGGAAGCTGCAGCCTCGAACAGGAAGAAGTCCGCGTCGAACTCGGCGAACTGTTGAAGGGTAGTATTGTCATTTAAGACATTGGAAGCTGCAGCCTCGAACAGGAAGAAGTCGGCGTCGAACTCGGCGAACTCGTCCCCGGCCGCCTCGCCGCACGGCCGTCTCGGCAGGTAGAACTCGCCTATGTACTGCGGCGGGTCGATGCTGAACCCGAAGGCGTCGACGTCGCCGTAGCCGAGGAAGTCGAACGGCGTCTGGTCGGCGCCGTTGCGGAGGACGGAGGTCGGGGAGGGGAACGGGTTGTCCGAGGCGTCGTCCCTGGCGGAGGAGGTGGATTCGTTGCCGTCGACGCCAGCCGACGTGTCCTTCACGACGGGGAAGTTGGTCACGGCCTTGGCGCCCTTCAGCCTGACGGCCGCGTCGTCGTACACGGCGGCCGCCTCCTCCGCGGTGTCGAAGGTACCGAGCCACACCCGCTTCCGCCGCGTCGGGTCGCGGATCTCCGCCGCCCACCTGCCCCAGGGCCTCTGCCGTACGCCTCGGAACCGCTTCCGGCAGCTGGGGTCCACCGCCCTCGTGGGCGGCCGCCGTTTGAGCGGCGCGCGGCAGGGGTCGGCCGCGATCCCGATCTTCAGGACATGCCTCTTCACGCGGCGACATGCGGTCCCGGAAGGCCCCTCGTCATCGCTGGAAGAGGAATCAGTAGCGTCGGCGTCGGTGCAGTGGATGAGCACGAGCCTCTCCCGGCGACCACTCGTCGCCGCCGGTACCGTCTTTCTGGTGGTGGTGACTTTCTCGGAGAACTTCACCGGGGCGCCGAGGACCTTCGGATTCATAGCACGAAGCCACGGATCAGACGGCCAGCGGCAACTCGCAGTATCATCAACCACGTCAGAGCCAAAAAGAGACCCCCCCCCCCCCCCCCTCCACTTCAACGACTCCCGATCGAAGTAACCAGAAGCGAGTTCATCCTCTTTCCGGATCACAGACCGACAAAATCTTCTACGTAAAGAAGGGAGGAAAGATCGAGCCAGGGTTTTAACGAGGGTTTATCCCGGAGACCAAGCAAGGATAAGGAAGGAGAGAGAGAGAGAAGGCGAAGCCCGAGCGAAGCAACGGGAGACGAGGGGGGCATTTAACGACGGTCGAACCCTCCAGGGGCTCATAATTATGAAATACCCAAACTACCCCGAATCTGTCTTTGTTGCGTCACATGGCCAAAACGGCCCCCACCGATGCGTAGGCGCTGCAGCACGAATCTCGAAGTGCACCCGAATGGCAACCAAGCATATAAAATACTAAATATAAGAAAAGGAATGGAAGAGCGGACGGAAAAGGCATCGGCTGCAGGGCTTGCGATTTGTCCGCGCACGGGAGGTGACGTTCACAGCACCAGCTTTGTGTCGCGATACAAGCCACGAGAGATCAGGAAATGACCCTTAAACTAATGGAAAGTTCCGCGACTGCCTCCAATTTTCCGGATCCGACAGAGAAGGAACTCTTTAGCAGATCCGGCGCGTCATAATGTCAGATTCGCCAACCTATGAGTCAACATGTTCCAGGCTAAAGAGTTGGCGGATTCAATCATATGATGTATATATTTTTTCTTTCTTTGGATATTTTTTATATAATTAATCTAAAAAATAAAATGAGAATATTCTAGAAGGTGCCATGTTAGCTTACAAAAAAAAAAAATTGTTATTTAAATAAAGTATAATTAATTAAAAGTATCCTGTCCTGTGCATCGATGAAGTAACATCCGATGGATTCTTCGTCTGCTGGTTTGAGAGATTTTACATTGATGTCAGTCCACAACCGAGGAGTCTTTTCAGGTCAGCAGTGTGAGGTGGAAGTGACCCGCACAAAGATTTCTTTCTTCAAAGTTTCTCTCGCATGGAAAGTACAAATAAGTTATTCATGATTGATGAAGGACGATCAAAATGACGGCCTACTAATTATGAGCCTTCCACTAATTAAGACAGTGGTAGGCCACTGTATGTCTAGATTTATCTCTTCTTGTGATACATGACGGATGCGACAAGCCTTGTTCATGATTAATTTGCTCCTATTTTTCACAAAGAAAAATATGTTAAAATTCTTCTTAATAAAAAGATTGATAGTGTCTATATTCGTTCTAATGACTCATTAATCTGATGAAGCTGAATCGGAGAAATCCATGGTATGTGTAGTTTTTGCTAGAAAAAAGAAGAAATCTAAAAGATACTGTCATCTTATTCGAAAAAAATTAGATGTACAGTAGTCATACAGCAATGGCAGGCAGACTGCTATCGATGTCAAAAAAAAAAAAAAAAAAATCAGTGTTGCCGGTGCTGAGATCACATTAGAAGATCAAGCTGATGTTGAAGGCTTTTGGTGATTGGGTTTGGCCCGAAGAAATGGTCATCAAAATATAGCATATTTTGTCATGATCTGAGTCTGATGTGTTAATTGGTCTATCAACTTTGTTTGATCTAAACCACTGACCAAAATATTTAAACTAAAATTGATAATAATATATTCATCAGACTCTTATAGGTCAATCAGATGACCGAGAGGTTGAAGAAAGCGCAGAGAGAGAGAGAGAGAGATCACTGCATCGTATTAATGGGGTCACGGCTGGTTCAGATTCATTGGAGGGGTGTGCCAAATTGAGAAGCGAATCTAAGTGGGGAATGCATTTGCTTGATCTTGTGGTTGTCCTTTTCATGGCAGGGTAACATAAAAGAGTCAATCTCGAATCAATGTCATGCCTTATCTGAAACTTTTTTTTTGTCTGACATAAGTACACAGATATTACAATCTTAAAAACGTGGTTGAATTAGTCCAAAACTATCTTCCCATAAATAAATAGTAAGATTCTTTGGTGTTGAATATAAAAAATATTATAAATTAAAATACTTGTATAAATACAAATATGAGATATTATAAATTATTTATCTGACTGGTTTGTATATATATACATATATATATATATTCATATATTATAAAATTAAATATATATATATATATACATATATATTCATATATTCATTTATATATATATTCAACCTATTCAATTTGAAGTTACAATGAAGAGAGTCATTCTTCTTTCCCTCCAATTCATCCTACTATTACAACTCTCAAACTATCATAATAATTTAAGCTGATGGATATTCCCATGTATGTATAATTATGATTTATTATACATCTTTACCCAGTAAAATGAAACATCAGTTATTAGGGTAAAGCATGACATGATATCCAACTAAGGCCCGACATTACTTTAGGCCAAAGACTTATCCAGTAGGAAAATAAATATTATTTTTTACATTAACTATATGAAATCTATGTAGATGCATTCTAAATGGCAAATGATCAAACTCCAATCAAGCTTATAAACTAGCTAGGATGGTATGTTTGTAAGTATAAAAATCATCCTTATTCTATTATTATATGAAAAATCAAATAACAATATATCTAAATTTACGATGTGTATATTTTGATGTCATTCAAAAAGGTTTTATCCGATTAATGAGTATGCACTATCGTCGGATCCATTGACTCTAGCGATGCAGATATACAAGAAGAAGTAAACTAGCCTTCTCATTTCTTTTTATTTTTATAGGATCGCTATAAGAGGTAGATCATGAACAAAGGGGAGATGAGAATAGATCTATACTTTCTCATTGACCGGTTCATATGACTAAGAGAAAATGAGAGAAGATTTGTAATCTCTTATTAATGTCAGTTGTTGTTTGCGATTAGACTAGTGACCACCGGAAGTTGTTGCCCTCAATAATACTATCATCAATAGTAAGTTATCGATGGTAATTTTTTGATTAAACATAAGAACCTTACATCACACATAAGTAGATGATAAGATGAACTAGATAGAAAAGCAAATCAGCAACATAGACGAATCTTCCATGCATCATAAATGAAAATCGAATAACACCTTTTAAAGGTACTAACAAATATATCTAAAGTATTTAACTTCAAGTATAGCTTTCATACCAATTATAATTATAAAAAAAATCATCCTTATGTTGTTATTATCTAAATATATGATGTGTACCTTTTGATACCATTCAGAAATATTTTATATAATGTGTAGGTGCACCGTCGTCGGATCCTAAAGCTATCGCAATGTCGATCTACAAAGAGAACTATATTCATATTATTTTCTCTTCCTATATTTCACATAACTTATAAGAACTAGATTAGGGACAAATGAGAGATGAAAATGACATGTATAACTCATTGATTGATTCATGTGATTCAGGAGAGATGAGAGAAGCTTTATAATATCTAATTAATATCATATTTTCGTCTCTTTTTATCTATGTATATTGAATATTTATTTATCCACGTATTTATACTTAGTATCTTGTCCTTTTATAAACGGGAGTAAATAGTAAACAAATAAATAATTAATCTAATATTATTTTATGCCTATATTGTGTTGGAGTGCTTTGGCCCTGTTATACAACAGTTGACCTAGTCAAAATTACAATCTTATAAATTAAGAATAAAGGTATGTCTAAATACTAGTTTAAATTATTTTTTGATATTTTATTGACAAATATTTGATATTTAGACAATTAATTTGACTGATTAGCTGGTCTAATATGTGTTAGTAAAAAAAATTAACCCAAATATTCCATTTGCAGTATTCATTG